TGAGATCAGCGTAAAGGTCTTGGAGACCAGCCTGGCTGGGACAGAAACCCCTCCTCAAACAAACCACCTGTTAATCTAAGTTAGGCACCGGGATGCTGAAAGAACTCGTCTCAGGCAATGGCCCGCTCTCGGAATGAATCCATCAATCCACAGCCCTCGGCACGGAGCTCCAAGCTCAGAAGAAATTGTGTTAGGCAATCTGACGGCCATGTGCCCATGGGTCGCACTAATCAAGGGCTTTGGTGGCAAGGACGGGGCAACTGGATTGACGGTTCTTGGACAGCTCTTCGCACACACCCGCAGGCCGCAGGCCCCTGCATGGAACACAACGGTACCTGTACTGTGTACTGTGTACAGGGCTTCCAGTGTCATCTGGAACCACCAATCTTTGGGTTTGGCGCCCTCCCCTGGTCCTCGAGCCGCTGCTAAAGACGATGGGATGCCGCCCATGGACCTCCGGCTTTGCGCATTGGTGGCGAAGCCGCTGCTCGGATTGGCAGGACACACACTGGCTCTATCAACGTTCCGCCTGTCAACCGAGCTTCGACGGGCCTCTGAAGCCTTCCGCCTTCCTTCTCACCCTGCAAATGACTGCAAAAACATGCCTCTCAAGCATCCTCAGGAGCTACGCAACTTTGCAGGCTTTCGTCCCCGTCCCCGCAGCATCCCAGGCTGTCGGAAAGCCCAAGGAAGTGGCAATGCGGGGAGCCCTCGCTGACGGATCTTCTCCATCCAAGCGGCCGCAGCTTCTTGGGAATGACAACCAGACAACCGGTCTTCACACTTGTTCTTGCCGAAACACCTTGCAGACGCGAGCAGCCCTTCTATTGCCAAAGACCAAGAACAGCAGAGATACAAGCCGATTTTGTGGGAGCCGATGCCGTGCTGACGGTGCTGCTTGCCGGGCTATGCAGAACGCGACATAGCCCGAGCAACAGCCCATGAGAACAGATGCGGCGGCTTCGGAGGGACTCTGAGAGTCGAAGATCAGAGCGGCAGGAACGGCAGGGAGCACAGGGCCCCTAGTGGACTTAAAGAAGGAATGATCGGAATGGTCCTGCTGTGCAGTTTTGACAACTCAGACTTGGGATCTTCTGGCCCTTTCCAGAAACCAGCTAAATTGGCTATACTTCTCAGCTGGCGCTGCGCCACTTATCCAAGGCTTGCAGGACCATGTGGGTCCCGAGATTAATGTGCGGGCTCTTGAGTCCACTGCAGTAGGAACAGAGAACCTAAGCTACTCTAAATCAGGGGACACTGCAGGGAGACCGTTGCCTCCGCTCTTGCCGGTCAGGCCGCACACCATGCGCAAAATTGATAAGTGGGGCGCCACTCTCCTGCGATATGCAAGATGACGAGAGAGGGACCAACGAGGCATCGCGAGGTCTAACTCTTGTTAAGGGCTCGAGGTGGCTTACCGCCGAGGTCTGACCCCTCGGTGCTTCGGCCACAAGCGATTGCGTCAAACGATGACGAGGTGAGGGCTGCCGCCTGGAGATTGGACCTCGCTGCATGGCAGGGCTACAGGAGCCGATACAAGCTTACGAGAACTCCTTCTGCTGCATCTGCTCCTGCGTGTTCGCACAGGCAAGGCCAGTTCCCAACCTTCCTCGAATCGCTTGAATCCGCTTGAAGCTCTCTTCACAGTCTCGGCACTGCCGGCACTGGACACTGCACATCGTCAAACTGCTGACTTCAAGGCACAGGAGGATGTCTGCAACCGTAAGACGACCGGCCAGACATCACGCTCAGCATTCATTCACGTCGGCTTCAGGAATCAAGCCCTACTGGAGGACCTCTACGCGAACATCCAGGCGCGGACTCAAGGGAAATCCCCAGCGTCTCCTCGCCTGCAGCCAATGGGAGTGCTGCAACAAGTGCTGCAACCAAAAATCCGCCCCGAGCACCTAAGCAGCGGAGGGCGGCCATTTGTGGGAACGGAAGGCGCTCGACTCGCTTGCCGGGCCAAGGACGACCAGGCTGCCAGTCTTGCGAGGAAGGGCGGAGCTAGATCGGAGCATCGGGAGCGACCCGGACCCCCTCGGCACTAAACCGAAACGAGGCGTGCCGTTGCACAGCACTCGCACATCTGCGGGCTTGTGAAACTGCGGCGCATGCCGGACGTGGCCAGGACTGCCTATGGGCCACCCCTGCAGCATGCTGTACACCGCCAAGGGCTTTGGGCAGAAGATCTCGCCGGGCGACAGGAACTTCCATCACATCCTCAGCTGAGCTGCGAAACATGAAATGAGGGATGTACGTAAAGTCGCTGGCAACGGCCATTACAGCAACTTCACTTGGAGGCACACTTCTGGAGTGGTGCCTTGATTTATTTCAATTCTCATCGAACCCCACATAAGACCATCCCATGCAGAATTTGCGTGGAAACGCTTTCTTCTTGATCGGTTCGAGCACAGCAACGGACGAGTAGCTAGATGACCCTTCTCACACACACAAAGATGACAGATGTTCAAATCAATTTCTGTCGAACTGAGCTGCCTCATGGTGTTCTCTCCTGCATGGCGTGGATATTCCGCACCTGCACGGTTTCTCCACAAGGCTTCCACAAACCCGACGCCGTTTTTCGAGCCTCGACCCGAGACTCTTCGCAAGGACGAAGAGCCCTGGGCCCCAGCCCAGCAGGAACGAAGAAGCCATGGCACCCTCTCTTGGACTCTCTATCCTAACCTTGACCCACGCAGCTGGGGGGGGAGTGATTCGTCCCACTTTGCCTAGGTCCTGGGCCCTTCCTTTTTGACTGCTAACAGATGTGACTGATTGCTGTCATTGCTGTTCAGGCACTTTCGGATTCACCTGTTGTCGCAAGCAAACGGCAAGATGGACATGCTTCGTCAGTGGCAGCTTGCAAAGCTGTGCTCTGAAGATCTGGTTGGGGCACATCAACTCGACAGAGAGAGAGAGAGAGAGCAAGGAACAAATATGAGAACGTTCCGAGCTAGGAAGGCAACGCAAACTCATAAAGTTCTCGGCAACCCCACACCCACCCAACCCTGGGAGCACCAGCAGCCGCGTGCATCTACATCTGTTTATCCAGGCAACGCGATATCTGCACGAGCTTTCTACCGCACAGGCACTGTCACTGTCGGAGGCCCATGTACAGGCATTTTGGGCGCTGCGCTGCTGAGATGTGGTGCAAGACAGCTGCTTAGATATCAACTTCAGATGGGAAACAGTCGTGCTGAAGGACATCCCGCAAGGCACCTGCCAGGTAGACAAAGTCAGAGACCTCGTTGTAAACTTGCGCGCTGACCCGGACGAAGCATTGCCCTTGCCACAGGTAGAATGGTACAAAAGTCCGGTGTTTCAGAAGGACTCTCTGAGCGGTCTTCATGTCACAACAGATCATGGCCACTTCTGGAAGAGGCACATTCACCATGGCGAGGCCTCCGGTCGGCATGGGCTCAGTGCCCAAAGCCTCGGCCAGCCGCTGGCCTCCCTGAACGGCCAAGGTGGACACGTAGTCCAGAATCCGAGCATCTCCTCCCAGAGCCTCTCGAAACTCCAAAGCAGCAGACATTGCCAGGAAGGCGCTGTAGTCTTTGGTGCCGGTGTAAGAAAACTGCAGTTGGAAGAAGCTCAGGCCCTTGCCCTCGTCGCTGATCACATTGGGGTGAATCAAGTGCTGCTTGTCCCTGGCAACCCAAAGGATGGCACTTCCTTTCGGACTGTAGAGCCATTTGTGGCCGTTGGCCACGTAAAAGTCTGCACCAGTCTTGGGAATGTCTAAGGGGATTTGCCCCAAGGCATGTGCGCCATCGATCAAAACCATGACGCCTTTTTCATGGCATATCCGCACCAGCTCTTCCACAGGTAGGAGGATTGCAGGAACACTTGTAATATGACTGAAGCTGGCTAGCTCTACGGAAGGATTACTGTCCAGCGCATTCTGGACCGCCTCCAGGATTTCACTTTTGCTGCTTGGTACTGAAATATTTACTTGCACGGACCGCTGCTGCCGCTCGCCATTGACATATGAGATCGTGTTCTTGACCATCTGATAGGCAGTATTTAAATACAGAATAGATGAATGAGGTGGAAGATTGATGGAGCGCAAGACAGCATTCACACCGGCAGACGCACCATCGACGAAGACCACGTCTCTCGCATCTGCCTTCACGTACTCGGCTACTCGAGCACGCGCCAGGTCAGCGGCTCCAATGAGCGTTTCTGGCCCTTGGACAAAAGGTCAGTACACGCGTTCTGCTTGCGGTGTTGATCTTGCAAATATACTTGCACGCCAATGTGCCCGCATGCGTGGGTGCGTATCTGCGACCGACACTTTGCAAAACAAAACAAAAAGAGACAGAACAGGGGGCTATGTGTTGTAGAGCCTACTTCGAGGTGCTTCTGTTTAAGAACCCTGTCTTGAATGCCCCTATAGTCCATGCGCTTCCTCAATTAAGGGCCGAACCGTCGAATCGAAACCACTGATCTGGATTGCGCTCCATGACGTCTTGCCACTCCCTCTCAGCCTGCAAAACACGAAGCGGAGTCGCTCCGTACGATCCATGGTTGAGATTCGTGTAGTTCCTCTCCTTAGCTCAGAAGACAGAAGAGCTCCAGCTGAAGTGGATGGACTTGTAGCTTTTCGCCTTCACCCAAAAAAGATTCTGACCACTTTGTTTTTTGGGGCGGACGCCAATGGTGCTATGCCGATAGCTGCAACCAGAACATCGCTGCAAAAGCTTGCTTGAAGCCATCGAGCCGAACAACCAGGATCAACTAGAATCACTTCAGTTGCAAACTGTTTGAACTCTCGATTTTTCTGCCCCCACCGAACTTGACTCGTGATTGCTGTTGTTATGTGTTTTTTAAACCTTCCAAGTGTAGCTTTCATCACGCGGACCCGCTGAACGTGGTATGCATGATCGGCGAGGCAGGGCCAAAATGGAAGAGGCTTGTGTTGGGGATAGAACCAGCAACTGAGAGACCGCAGCAAGAAAAGTATCGACAAAGACATGGTGACATCTAAGAAAGTGACAGCTGACGACAGACGCGGGGGCACATCCACGAGATGAAGCGAGTGCTGAAGGCGTGGCCTGTAGGACGGATTGCTTCAAAGCCTCACTCCAACGCGCGCAATACTCAGTAAGGCCTCCTGAGATGCAAAGCACGTCGTTTTCTCGTGTCTCTGCTAAGAAAAAAGGGCGTCAATGGCCAGTTTGCTGCTCTTGATGCTCCTGGTTGGCCCAGTGTTCGGGCTTCGTTTCACTCCAGCATGATCCTGCTCCTCAAAGCCTTATCTCCGCCTTCTTAGAACCATGTCTGCAAAACCACCTCGATCCACTCTTGTTCCCGCTGCCCAAGGCGTCGTCATCCGCTGAGCTCGATACCCGCATTTAGAGCTTGTTCACTAGATGGACCTCCGCTTCAAAGATTTTCGGAAGAAGTGCGTGTCGTGCTTCGCCGCCGGATGTGCAACTCACTCTACCTCATTTTAATTTACAGGTGGTCTTGGAAGAAGCTCAGTGAAGTGGAGTCCAAGGGAAAGGAGGACAAGCGTAAGATCCTGATTCCTCGCGTTTCAAAGCTTATCACGCGAGGAACTGTCTATCACTGAACCTCAAGGTTGAGGCTTGATTCGTTGCAGAAAATCATCGACAACAGACGATACGATCAGCAAAACTCAACACAAAAGGTGTCGAGCAGCACCTGAAAAAGCTTCTGGGGGAGCGGGGGGGGCCAAACCTTAAGCCTTCAACAGTGCCGCTCCACACCATCCCTTCTTTTTGGAGCCATCGACCGTGCAGGGCTAAGCTCAGTTGAAGGCAAGCGCTGTGCGGGCATAGCAAAAGAATAGAAAACATGCTGAAGGCCAGTCCAGTTTCAAGAGCAAACAACGGTAGCAAAGAATGGCCAAGTACTGCCGGGCTCGCAAGGAGGCTCCTTAACAAGCAAACTAAAGGCACACTCTACAATCTCGTTCTCTCTCCTCTTGTGAGCTTGGACTGAAGGAATCAGAGATGGAGTGCAGCCCAAGATCCGAAATGTCAGCCAGACACAGATGGCTCTTACACCTAGAGAGCAAGGGAAAAACATGCCGAAACAAGCTGTTGGAGGATCTAAGATCACTCGAGGCTGATCGCAGCGGCAAGAATAAACCTCAGCACTGCATAAATCACACAAGTCGCCTTCACAAATTGTCCTGACCATCTTTTTGCTTCAGGCCTGAAGAGGGTCAAGACGAGGCACGAGCAAACGTGTCCCAGGCCCAGGACTGCAATTTCGCAAATGTGAGTTTTGCCGATGAGCGTGTTGTACTCACCGCCCCATGACAGCTCCATGCTGTGCTGAGCTCCTCCATCTGCAACAATCACGAAGCGCGTCTGCAGCTGCTTCGAAGATCTTGGAAGGGTCTCACCTGATCTGTGGGCTCCACATCTGCTTGAGACGTCCCATGGCCGGTCTGCCAACGGACGCGTCAAGCCCACAACCCCACACGAAAAGATCGCTGCCCTCCATGCTGGCCAACATGTGATGGCCACCTATCCAGCAAGCCCTTCGCAGAGCGGGCGCCATTCTCACAAACCCATGTCCAACCTGGCCATCGCCGTTCAACCCGCGACGGCACCGTCCGCGGAAGCAACTTGCTGTAGAATCTGTTGTGGCTGTAGCTTGTCTGGTTTGGGGCCTCCCGCTCTGCAACCTGCAGAACCAGGGCAGTTGCACCTTGCACCACAGCTTGCTAAACCTGCTCGGCAGTCATGGAATTAGCGGCACATGCAGAGCCATCAAACTAATAAGTGCGCACAGCCTGCTCGCCAGCGACTTCCCAGACGCCGCCCAGGCCTGCGACGCTGCTTGAGCACGGCAGGGTGCCCTCGGAGAGTCCACAAACGTCTTGCAGTTCAAGCTGTCCCGTGGCTTTGAGACTTCATTGTGGCCATTCGGAGCTGCTAGGGCCACTGTGTGGTTAGCGCCACTTGCAACTTGCACGCATCCCTCCAGGACCAGCGTTGGTTCTGCACTCTTCTCCAGGACCTCCGTTTCCTGCTTGCGCTTGCGTGCGATCCCCACAAACAGACCCGACGCTTCTCATGCCAAGCACAGCCCGCAGCCAGTCTCCACACGAAACATGGCGAACTGTGACTCCACTTGGCATCGTCCCCGGATGTGGCTCCACATCCGACGGGCCACCGTCCGAACCATCCGAAGGAGCTCTGCCCAGGGATCCATCATCGTTGCAGCCCCAGCTGTACACAGCTCCCCTTGCAGGCACTGTCGTGCATAGTATGGGCTGTACGTTCGCAAATGTGATTCTCCCGATTGGGGATCTCAAGAGCGGGGCTTCTTCGCCTGGGCATACCATCGCCCACACCCAGCAGATCGCATTCGCCACTTCCGTCAACAACGATATACAACGATAGCTCTAACAGGAACACTTCCGTTCTCCTTGAGGGCTTTGTATTCGGCTCGGAGACTTGCGGCGGTTGTGCCTGGCTGAATCGTCGACAGCACCATACAGCACCCCAGTTTCCCCTGTCGCAGCCCGGGTAGAGAGACCCCGGCGACTCTTGCTGTTCAAGCGCCTGAGCTGCAAGGGTTCACACATGTTCGGCAGCTCCAGACCAGCACAGGTACAAGATCCTGCAACAGCTGAGCGCTCCACGAAGAGGTCGTCGCATGCAAGCAGGAGCGCATTGGCCTGAAGCTCTTTAATTTTCTCTTTCTCCAAGGCTGCATGCGGAACCTCCAATCCGTACTCATCCAGCTCAGCATCATAGCCAGCTTCGCATCAGAGCAATTGAGACCTGCACTCGCTCGGCCCACATGACAGCCGCCTGCAAGGGTTCACACATGTTCACACATCAGAAGGTATGACATGGTATGACATGACAGGATGCATTGTGCTTCCCCGAGCTGGAGTATTCTCTGCGGACAAGCTGATGGAAATGGGATTCGCAGGTCGGCAGCAGGGCTTCCTCTCTGCCCCGCCTTGTGATCGGACACGGCAGCGCATCCGCATCCTGCCAGAAAAGGCACAAGTGCACCGCTCCGGCTACCTGGTGGTGGAGATTGCGGGCCTTCTGCGCGCTCGGGAACGCCGTCTCGAAGTCGCCCAACCCCAGCCTGCATGGCCAAGGCGACAAGAACAGAGAGAAAGAAACATGCAGAACATCTCGCTGAAGAAGCCGGGCGCATCGCCGCAAGGCCCTCGCGTGGCAATTCGCCAAAGGCCTAGGTGTTTCTTCGCTGCGTCTCGACTCCCTGAACGGACACTTTCGACTCAGCCGGCGAACATCGCCAGCCACTGCGAAGTGCTGCCTTGGCTTCGTCCAGCATCCTCGGCAGAATTGCATGATACTTCCGACCGACATCTATTGCTGAACTGCACGACAAGCGTATGATGATGATTGTATGAGGAAAGGACGTCCCGGCGTTCTGGGAGGTCCTGAGCAACACCAGAAGCAGGATTTCTTGGCTATTGGAAAGGTAGCTTTCATGGCAAAGCCACGACCTGTGCTCAGAGCTGCAGCTCGTCGGCGTCCACCGGTGATGATGTGCAGCAGAGCATTTCGCCCATGGCCTGGCGGTCTCCGCAGCAACATGGAAGACGAATGGCACACTGACAGTTGGGGCCGCTGCTTGGAAGAAGCCAAGAGCCGTTCTTCGCTGCCACTCGGCCTGCCCAGATCAGGACGTGCCCGGGTCGCGAGCCCGCGATGAACTTGGTCCGAACTTTCGTGCTCGGTCAATTTTGGCTGGACGGGCCTTGTCGTGGACGCCCTGCAGGATCCTCAACATGGTTGCGTCCATCTGCCGTCGCCTTTCCTGCACAGAGCTCAAGCCAGGGACACGACGTGACACGACACCACAGCACAGTACCCCAGTCGAGCAAGCCACACGATGGTTATTCGGACTCTGACCTCGCGAGGGATCTCCCAGTTGATGGGTGGTACAGGGATGGTGAAGTCCGTCCACCACAGGTATTCCCAACACAACATCCTGCATCGACAAAGTTGCAGCAGCCAAACACTGAATCACACAGTCGAAGCTCCTGGGGTGTCGTGATGCCGAGGATTTGCAGTCCGGTCTGGGCGGGATGCCCTACCCGTCCCTGGGTCTTGAACCATAGATCTGCATGACGATCCACAGTCCGATGTCGATGGGTTGCGACCCTTTAACGTTTTCTCTGCCGCCAGAAGCCGCAGGCAGCGGCGCATGTCTGATCACACGTTTGCATGCATGCCCTATCGTGCATTACAGTCAATAGCACAGGCAGGCAGCCATTTTGCTGACTGAAGGCGCAGCAGCAGTCTCCACACGAAACACGATTCCGGTAGAGCCGATCAAGTTAATTGGGGCTCGCGGAATCGTTGTGTCGGGTGTTCCCACAAGGTAGCACAAGGGTCCTGCAACCATGCAGGGGAAGGCTGTCTCATTCAAACTAGTCCTGATCCATCCCGCATCCTTCATGCAGCTTCCAAAACCTGCTGCTCGGCAGTACCACCAAGATCAGGAAGATAAATCAATAGAGTTGAGTTCAACGAGATCAACCTCGCACTTGCCTCCATTCCTCGGCCTTGCACCATGTGAACACGCGTGCATCCAACAATCCAACAGCGCTGTGTGGTGCTGCGCAGTCCACCAGCTGTCCAGGAAGTCTTTCGTACAACGGACACGGCCTGAAGCTGCGGCACGGCCATCATCACAAACCCAAGTCCAACCTGGCCATCGCCATTCAACCCAAAACCAAACAACGGCACCGTCCTGGAATGCTATGAAGTGCTTGCGCCCCATAACCAAACCCGACACTTCTCATGCGAGGCGCTGTGGCAGTCTCCACACGAAACATGGCGAACCGCGACTCCACTTGACGTCGTCACCGGATGTGGCTCCACATCCGACGGGCCACCGTCCGAACCATCGGAAGGAGCTCTACCACCCCGCGGACCCCTTGGCCATGCGCTGCCCCTCGTTGCTCTTCCTGTCTTGTGGCACTTCTTCCAAGTATGCATCGGTAGGAAATGGCGTCAGCACCCATCCCTTGGCACTCGTTTTCTCTGACGCGAACTTGGAGGCTGCCCACCCAATCACTGACAAGATATATGCCACAGCCAGCTTGGCCGGCATAGGCCTCTCCCATTGGAATGCCTTTGTTTGAAGCCTTGGGGTACAAGCTCATTTTCAACACCACATCCTGACACGGAGCCTGCGCCTTGGAAAGAGCGTCCGCCAGCAACTGTTCCACCTTCTTGTACGACTGCTTCAGCACTCCCACGTAGGGTTGCTGCAGCTCATTGGGCCACATGGTCTCCAAGCTGAAGTTGCATGCGTTTGGAAGGGAGATGTCGTCCCGTGTGAATGACCTTGCGACCTGAAGCAAAGTGCTGTCATCGGCCTTACCACAGGAATCAGCTGCACAGCGAAAGCCCAAGCCACACAAAGCTGTCAGCGGCGGCATTGACCTCACAAGGACACACCTTGTGCAAACGGTGCGGTGCGACATCTCAACCTGGCTACTCTGAGATGAACTCTTGAAACTCAAGCCACCGCGATCACATTTCTCATCTTTTGATTGTCGTTATATCCGTCAGGCTCATGCTTATCTTCCTCCACCAGGCTCCGCAACGGAAGCTGTAAGCATGGAGACATCACTTTCAGATGTGGTCTCGTAGGAACCGTTTCGAAATTGCATACAAAGCTTTCTCTCGTGTAGAGCAGGGACTTCTTGGCAATTGGGGGGGGGGGGGGGGGNNGGGGGGGGGGGGGAGGGACGCTTGGCTTTCGTGAGCACCTCGTCCACCCATGGTGTTGTCATGCAACAGAACAACTCGCCCGTGGCCTGGCAAGCACGGCGAAGTGTTCTCAAACGCCGCAAGCAAACGAATTGCGCTGCCAGCTGAGGACGCCGCTTGAAACCACCCAAGCGTAACACTTCGCTGCCACGCAGCCTGACATCAACGAGCAACGTCGCTATGAGCGCTCGGCTGCCACATTATCCCTGTGGTAACTTTTCTGACACCTCTAGCTGAATATTTCTCAGAC